TCAAAGTGGCAAGGGTTTGAAGTTCAATATCCATCATGCATTTAAAAAGAAATGAAAAAAAAGATAGACGGAAACACTCTGTCTTGGCTTTTTAAATTTTTTTTTTTAATGTTGGATAAATATTAAAACCTCTTTCTAAAACACCTTGCCGTGAGTACTGGGATTAGAACATAGTATTTTTATTAATATATGACTTAATTATTTTTGTTTAAGTTTTGTTGCATATTTTGGGGAGGATACAATATATGACTCTCGTTTATTTCCCCAGTTTTTCATAACTTAAACGGCAGCACTAACCGATCAAGGACTTAATTTTGGGGGAGGGAGAGGGCTTCAGCCCGAAAGATTTTCTTTGTATATATATATATATATATATATATATATATATATATATATATATATATTACGATAATTACTTCGGAAAAAAGAAAGAAACTAAGTACCTATACGAAGTGGTGTTTAAGTGATTCTTTAAGTCCTATTAAATGTAATAAGACGAACAATAATCGTTGAAGAGATAATTTTTTTAATAAGATGTCGTTATATTTTATTATTTTATTTTGGGGGGGGAGAGGGGCTTCAGCTCGAAAGTCGAAAGTAAAAAAACTTTTCTTTCAAGAGGAACCAATTCTTTTGGATTTCGTTGAAATGCGTGAAAAAAGAAAGAAAAGTTTTACCAGACGCACCATTTATGAACGTGATGTGTTTTTATTAAACACGTTTTCATTAAAGACATTTTAATGATACCATCTAACATGAGTTCAAGTTAAATAATAACATTTTCAGTGGCTTATTGCTAATATCCTTTCTCTTATTAATGATGACCAAAAAATTTTTGTCCTAGAGTACCTAATTTTCCCCTCAAAACATTTTGTGGATTGCCCAATTTTTTAAATTTACATGCTTAATCAAGTAAATGTTTTCTTCTTAGACTAGTCCTTAAAATCATCGTTCCCTGCCATCAATGCTTCAGTTAATTCTTATTACAAACAACTTTTCACTTCTACTTAATATCGTAAAACTATCTCTATTTGAATAGAAATTTAATTATACATTTTATTTTTATTTACTATAATCTTATTATTCATTTTATTTTTCATTTACTTTAATGATGGAGTGGTAAGTGAAAATTTCTGTGATTGAGATGTGGCATTGGACATGTAAAAAAAAAAAAATTAAAATAAATGATAATATAAATGACGTGCGTAACACAGTCTTACGTTTTAACTTACTTAATACTAAACATAAAAAACTTGGCTATTTATAATCAATAAAAACTCACTTACGTATTACCCAATCTAGATAAAACGATTAAATTATAGAATTAAAATAGAAAAATTGACGTCTGTTAGACGTAAAAAAATATTAATTTTACGTATGTATGTTGATTTTTTTTGTAACTGTATTAAGATCAAAAACTATATTTCTTTTAAAATGTTAATAATAGAAAAAACAAAAACATTATATTATTTTTTGGCATTTTTAATATTGTTATATAATTATTCAGTACATAATGCCTGATAAATTTCTGGGTCAGAGACACTGGAAACAGATGACCCAAATATGAATGATAGTTGATAAGCGTTTTCAGTCACTCTTTTTAACTACACTAGAATAATATTTCTTTTTTAATTCACCATTAGATTTCCTATCAAATAAATATTTTTTTTAGTAATAATTACATTAACGTCAGCAAGAATATGAGGTAAAATTTGATTTTTATTAGCAAGAAAATCGGTTTACTTTATTTGAAATCTGAATCCTTTTATAACTTCTTATCATAATATTTTTACCTATTTTAATTTAATCTTCAATGAATTAATATCGTAACACATTTTAATTTAAATTAAAACTAATGAAACTTTTAAAAATAATGAAAGGTATTATTTGTGGAAAAAAAATATCTGGCATGCAAATTCAATTGCAATAATATCGTTACGATTCTCTTATCAATTAAAATCAAAATGGAAGCGTTAAAAACTAAAAAGAATAACTGTATCGATTATTTAATGAAAAATGTCTATTGTATTTGTTTTATATTAAGTTGTACTTAATTCTAGATGTATACAGTTTTGTTTTTTGGTATTGTTCGATTCTAATTTTAATCATTTTAATATTTTGTATAAGAGAGGTGTATAATGAGAGATAAAGCGAAATTAAAATATTGAAAAAAAAGCATGAACAATGAAAGAAAAAAAAAAAAATATATATATATATATATATTTATTTATTATACTCATATATACTAACCACATCTGTATATTTATGTATAAGTTTTATCTTTTGTCCTACGGATCAACTAGTATACTGTGCGAATAGCAACCCAATATAATTGGGCAGCAAGCTTTTATATTTTATATGAAAATAAAGTGTCTCTCTCATGATATCTGAAAGAGATTCGTGACTGATTTAAAAAAAATAATTTTAGAAAAATCATGGATTGGTTTAATTACAACTACCATCTATTAGCTGATATTAACGGGAAAATTTAATTGTGCATATATAATATATATAAACACTTTCGCTCATGTTTTTGGAATTAGAGTGAGTTCAGATACTAAGGATTGAAATGTGACAACATTGAAGAATCATGAATGTTTGTAATCTAAATTAATTTGTTTTGCAAATATTTCTGTATTCGCTGTGAAACATGGAAAAAGTCTCGTAGTTATAACTTTTAGTAAAACAAAATAAACACCGTTTGTTTTGCTAATTGCTGAATTACAATTACGCAAATACTTGCAAACAAACAACTGAGCTCAAGGTCGAATGCAAGTTTTAAATAAAACTATAACTACAACAAAGCACCACTCTGCCAAAATATCAAAGTGTAATTATAAATTAATTCCTCAACGAAAAAAAATTATAGACAACTCGACAAGGAGTCAGTTAACACGCCTAAATGACGTATAAGGAGTTAAATGGCTTTGCTATGTGAAATAACAAAAATATTTTAATGGCTCAGGTGAAAATAATATTAACGGTTTGTTTAAAAAGATTATAACAATAAAAATCATTATCAAAATCGAAAACAAAATTTGCCTATTTCGTTTGTGAAATTTGTTTGTTCATGTAAGATTTAATTTAGGGTCAACAGAATTGACGGTTTTGAACTGAAATCAAACAAAAATTTGAAAACTTAAATAAATAATTGTTTATGACAAAAGAACAATAGATAAAATAGAGTACAAATAAACAGACACATCCACCCATATCTCAATTTGCGCATTTAATTCGTTCCCAATCCGAATCTGCGTATTTCAAGATTTCATAAACTATTTAAATTATTTTATTCTCCAGTCCTCCAATTTTAGAAATATTTCATTTTTTCGTGAATAGTAATCAAATTTAATAACGCAAACCAAAAAATTATTAAGATTGGAAATTGAATCATCAATCAGAGAGTACTATCTATTACCGATATACAGTACATTTTTTTTTTTAATAATGGTGATTACTTTCGAAGAACAAGAAAGAAACTATATAAAATGATGTTTAAGGAGTTCTTGAAAGTTAGCCAAAAAAAAAAATTAAAAGTAAACGGTAATGCTTTTAGTACAAAAACAATAATGCTTTTGGGAATATTATTTTCTTGACACGTGCTTACATTTAATAGCTGTATAATTCAAAAACGCTGCAAATGATTACACAATGGTTTATTATTTCCAAACAATTATACATCAAAAGTAACATTACTTTCCTTCAAACATATGAAAATTGGATTAAAAAATAGACATGGTTTACTTTACCTACGCGGGAGAGGAATATTAATTTTATTCACTCTGTTGATAGTTTTTTCAATATTTTTCTTTCAATAATTAAGATTATAAATCTTACATTATTCTGCAGTTTTGTATCGTGTTCTTTCTAGCCATGGCGGCGACCAGCATAGATTGGTTGTAACACAGCATTAATAAATATTATCCACTATTTATAGTTATTTATGATAGCCAACCCACACAGACCATTTTTTCCCGCATTAAAGTAGGGGTAGAAGAAAAGTAAATTTTATTCTGCGACATTTAGTCCTCTCAGCCTTAGATCTTTGGTGCCCCTGGGCACTGGCTTCATCTCCCCTCCCTAAAATAATTAAATTTATTTCTTAAGCCGTTTAATATTATGTAATATTTCAATTTTATTTCATTCAATATTTATCTAATACAGCTAATTTTTGATAAGCTAAATGTTAATACGTTTGAATATATTTTAAAATTTTAAACAAGTGGCGAGCGCCCTTTATGATCGGTCGGTGCCCCTAACTCACAGCAATAATTGCTCCGGTTGTCCCGCCCCAAGGCCAGCAGTGAGTCCCCTAAGAATAAGAATAATGAAAAATAGAAGTGTCATACGGGTACTACGTATTACTTATCCTATGTGCCTGTTCACAACAAAAATTAGATGGAAAAATCTCAGAAATCATGATATAATAATTTTTTTTTTTTATTATTTTAATGGAATTTACAACTGTATTACATATAAAATACAATAAGTAAATGTGAAATTGATAACATGACATGTACAACATGAAGAGAAACTACCCATTGGTAGAACTCAAATTGATATAATAATAAATCGTTTTTTTCTCATGTGAATTTTCACTAATCGAAATACATAAATCTGAGGGATGGAAACAAGAACAACTGAAAAATTAAAGATTTAAATAAATGATTATAATGAAGAGAAATTGGAAAATCGTAAATTTGTGAGTTGCACAGATTTTCTATCGTACTAGGAAAATTTAAATTGAGCATAAGATCTTCGCAACGACCTTCAGTTCACATTAATGGATAAAAATTGATCGTCGTCATGAAATAAATGATGGACGTCGCCCACAAACAAGATATCTATACTGCGCATAAATTAATCTATAAAATTGTGTGATCATTTCTTGAGAAATGCAATTATTATATTCATTTAAAAAAATAAATAAATAAAAAAATGCACCAACGGAATCATTGGTTGTTTTTACGAGGGAATCGAAACTTACCCGATTTCCGAGAGAAAAAGTCGATTATAGTTCACTTTGACATAAACGAATCAATTGGTAGAGAAGTTTAAAATTATAATGACATTTTAAAAAAAATACATTAAGTGATTCGGAACAATAAGTAGAACGTGATTGATAAAAATATTTTAAAATACATCGCATCGATATGTCCCCCAACATAAACATAAATTAGCATTTAGAATTCGGAAGAGAATTCAATTTAGGTTTTTCAGTATCAAAGTTCAATCAAGTGTTTCTATGTTTCATCGGAACTTGTTATGAAAAATACCCGTTACTTCGTAGTAGTTATGTTATGTAAAGTACTTTATTATGGCATTTAAAAGTACCTTGTTGATAGTTATCCCCACTCTAAATCTAAATACTATAGTCTATTATGAAACAGCCTTGACGTGGGGTCGCGTTGGCTTCGAGTACCAGTCGAGCCCGCTCCTTATCTCAATTGGTTTCGGCCCAGTCGGAACTTCAGTTCGTAGTTGTGTTTCTAAGGATACTCAGGCGGAGAGTGCAACATGAAGACTGTAACGAAGGTAACCACTTTAAATAATTTAATTTAGTTTTATCACTGTTTTTGTAATTAAATAACTATTTTAATTTCCTTTTGGAGGGGGAGCCGGCGTATTTTAAAAAAAATATAATTATGATCATTATCACTAGGCAAAACAAGGGGATATACATCTATTTTACAAATTATGTATATTCTGTTCCTATTTAATGACGTAGGAAAGGAGGAAAAAAATGAAAAATAAAATAATGACCAAATAATTGCACATAAATTAAGCGTTATATAATGGTCAGGCCATAATATTTTAATTACTCAATATGCATTGATAATCACTTTTATCTTGTGCATAGTTAACTTAGACCAAATGTTAAACAATGAATTATTTTAAATTAAATTGTTTATTAAACCTTGCCAATTCTAATCTGCTATTTACCAAAACCAAATTATTATTGACCTAAATTTAAACATTTATAAACAATAAATGTAAAATAATTATGGTCAGCCAAATTTAAACCATGAATACTTCTATTAAATATTTTAATTGGATTCAATGAAATGGGTTAATGAGATTTTTTCCTTACTTGTACCAGAAGAAATCTAAAACTAGTTTTGTAAAGTAAGCAGTTTCTAAAAGCAGATTTGATAAAATATAGAAACTTAAAAAAAAACTTAATTAAACTTAACAAATATTAAAAATAATTGGCTTTGCTTTTGAAAAAAAAACAATAATATTTTTATTTATTTTAATTTTTCAAAATTTATGGATAGCTATTTTCCTTTAATAATTTTTAGATATCCAACAAATAGATACAATTTATTATAGATACATGTTTTTCTTTCCATCACTCTCTCTGAACTTACACATGTAATAGAAACGCATTTATTTCTGCAATACATATTATACATTTATTTTTAAGCTTAAACATTTCAATAAATGACAAAAAATAGTCATAAGAAAAATAAAATGCGATAATATGCTTTTAACATAAACCTAGAAATGCTCTTCACAAGCAGTAGATAACTTCAGTTCTAAAACCAATTAATTTTATTGCTGCTGATAAGTTAAAGTATCTTTCAATGATATTCTCAAATTAAGAAATCTTAAGAAAAAGTATTTACAATGTGTAATAATATATGTTTTTTCTTTTTTGTTTAAGCTTTTGCAAAATGTTAGCCAACAAATTATAAGAAATAATAGAACAGCTTGTTTACAACATGGAATCAGAAAATGCTCTTCACAAGCAGGAGAAAGTCAATCTTCTCCTTTGACAAGTTTAACAGAAGAAGAATTAATGTTAAAAGATATGGGTAATTATTATTTTGTACAATTTTCTTCTTGAATACCAGAAAAGTTAAAGAAATATAATATTTCTTTTTTTTTTATCTATTCAATTATTTTTTGCAACAAATAATGTCAGACAAGTTTGAGATGCACTGACAATGCAATGCACCTGAAATTTTTGATGAACAAAAATTTTAAATATACATTTTTTTTTTAAACAATTGGTGTACGTTACATAAATTATTTTATATGAATCAAACATAAATGTTAATATAAATATTCCTTGCATTTTTGTGACCTTAAAAAGAATACCAAATTTAAAATATAAAAATTAAGTTTTTATTTTTTTTTGTCACTAATTGTGACCTTTTTTTTTTTCTAATCACTATCTGACATTTGTTCATTGTTTCTCAAATTGAGGTAAGCAATCTTGGCATATACTAATTTAAAAGTATCTACATTTCTAGTTTATCGGCTTTCTATAAGGAAAATTGTATCTATGACCTTGGGTAATAATCCATTGATGAGAAGTTGCGAACAAAATAAACTAATGTGAAACTAGCGTTAGAAACTAAGATTCATTCTTGGCTTTGTTAAACATCCTCAGAACAGAAAATATACAAACAATGGAAAATTGATGTTCAAAGATAATTAATAAATACTCTCAATACGAATCAATGTAATGTTTATGGAATCAGATCTATAGAGTTATATAACAATGCCTCATAAATCAACAATATTTTTGCAATGTTGATGAACAACATCATTTTTATAGAGCAATATGGTCTGGAATGGTGATCATAAAAAAACTTAAAATAGTGAAACACTATTTTAAGTTTTTTTATCACTGCAACCTTGGACCATCTCGTTTTTCAATATTATACTACATTCAACTATTGAATATTCAATATCATTTTTAGTTCATTCATTATCGATTAACAACTGTAAACAAATATAATAATTAAATTAATAACAACCTAAAATGTAACCCTTGTTTAACATACTTTTTTTTTTAATTTACTACTGATAATTAATGTTTTGATGTGTTAGTTTCAACTAATTATTTTTGTTTCCAGTTAGTAAATTTTCTACAGATAGAGTGGCTCCTCTTGTAAGAAAAATGGATAATGAAGGAAGATTAGACGATGACTTAGTAAAGGAGTGTTTTGCTAATGGAGTAAGCAGATTTAAAATTTTCATTCATGATTATCACTATCATAATTGAAATTCGATTATGATAAATATAAAATGATTTATGCAAAAAAAAAAATATTGTATAGTCTTAAATTTTAATGGTTAGATCCTTCAGTAACGAAAATTAACCTTAAATTTTTTACAGTTTCTAGAAAATTAGATATACATATTTATCTTAATTCTGACAAAAGTCTAAGAAAATAATACATAAGCAGAATTAACTGAGGTTACTTTATGAATTTGTGAGGGACTCTGGGATATGCGCAGACTTTCCATTGTGGTTGGGGAGGAGAGAGGATACATTTCCTAGTATTTTAAAAAAAAATTTATTCTTCGAAATATTGCGGAGTTCTCTCGATCGCCTCCCCCCTTGCCTTCCCGAATTCTGCACCTATGGACTCTGGTATTTAATTTTAATACCATTAATTAAACAATTTTTAATAGATCTGAAAAAATTATTTTTTTAATGAGCTAATTACTTTAGATGCAACCGATCAATTAAATTTTTTTTTTTTGGCAGTTGCTCCAGTTTTTTTTTTTCAATAATATAAACCAGCTAAACTTGCTTTTAAAAACACTCTGATAGATGGGAGTTTATGTTTTATAATTAAAATACATATTGTGAGTTGAAAATAGTACAAATGAGTTTTATCATTAGAAATACAATGAAATACTTATTGTGTCAAAATCATACCTCTCTAGAGGATGAAAATAGAAAAAAAAAATGTTCTCTCTCTCTCTCTCTTTAATTCATAAGAAACTCAATAAAAATTTCTGATGTTTGAATTAAGTAATAAAACTTAAGATTCATTTATGAATGAACTAAAAAAAAAAATAAAATTTGTTAATTTACTTTTATAAAAGAGTAAATTTAGAACCTAATTAACATTTCTGGAATATTTTAGCTAAAAGTAGGTTAGAAATTATCCTAATTTATTCATTCCAACTTTAGGAGGTAATGAACAATTTAAACAATAAAGAATCCAATATGTTGGTAAATGGAATTGTTCTGAAGTGGGATATACAATGTTTTATAATCAATGCATGCAATCATAAAATTCATTTTATCTTCCTTTATATAACATTAATTGTTACGAAATGAAAGATTGGCTATCTTTCATAATTTCAGATAATAACCTTTTTTTCAAGTAAATAAGAAAAATAATCCATTATACATTACTTTTCTTTATTAAGTTTTTTTTTATCAAAGATGTATAGGTTTAATTAGTTAAGAAATGTAATTTAAAATGCTTAGAAAAGTAATGCATTGTTAATAACTTTTTTGTTAGAATTTTTTATAGTTTAAACCTACTGTAACTTTAATATGTTTCTAGATTAAAAAAAAAAGATATATATATATATATATATATATATATATATATATATATATATATATATATATATATATATATATATATATATCTGTACCACTAAAACCCGTAAAGGGTCGTGGATTCAATACTATTTAGGGAAAGTACTGTTTCTTGGTCAACGGTTGAGCAAGGATGTGATTTGACCGAGATCATGCTCAACCGTCAGGTTCTTCCTCTTAACAAATTATTTAATTAAGGGTACCCACTTTATAGAGGCTTGGTGGGCTCCTGATTCCAAGGTCACCCCACGTCAAATGAAACAGAAAAAATAATTTTTCTGTCATGAGCTAGTATTCGAACCTTATAGACTTAAAAACACTTATAAATTAGGTATAATAAATAAATAAATATTCTACCAATTAACTTTGATTAACAATGATATTTGAACAATTTACAGCTAATGGGAATTGAAGTAGACCCAGAATATGGAGGAACTGGTTCATCATTTTTCTCAAATATAATTGTAGTAGAAGAATTGTCAAAAAAGGACCCTTCATTAGGAATTTTAGTTGATCTCCAAAACACTTTGATCAACAGTCTAATTATAAAACTTGGGACACCAGAACAAAAAAAGAAATATTTAACAAGGCTAGCAACTGATACAGTAAGTATTTTGACTCTTATTCAGAAATGTTAAAACTAAGTCATTGAAATTAGCATTTAAGCTTATAAAGAAATAAAATCACCAAGAAAATTTAGAGATAAAATTGTATTAAGAACTAGCTGTACCCTGCCACGCGTTGCTGTGGCTCATTATGGTTAAATAAAAAGTAAAAGTAGAAAAGTAATTATATGTTTCTAATATATTTTATGTAACAATACATGTGAATATGCAATATTCTTTGTTGTTCCATTCTTAGTAAAGATATAGAAATTGTCTGCTTTTCCAATCTAGAATTAGCAACATATAATTGTCTATATAAGAAGCAATCTGTCTCTGAATCTCCCACGAAAAATTACTAAATGTTTAAACCATCTCTGGACCAAATCGTCCGATTTTAATTTGGTGTTTTTTATTTACAAGGAATCATTTTTTTTTTTATATAATGATGGGTATAATCAATCAAAAAATGTGTACTTTTTGATTTATTCACAAATATAGTTTTGAACCCATCGTAACTTTTTTTCATACTCTTTTCGGGGAAGTATGTTATATACATAAATTAAAAGGGCTTTAAGGAGAAGACTTTAGCCAAGTTTAATTAAAATCGTTACAGCCGTTTCGGCACTACAGTCTATAGCGGTACAGGTTTTTGGGCCACTAATCCAAAACAAAAGAGTGGATGGTGATTAAATGTATATAAAAACACTCCTGAATGCGATGGAAACATTATATCAATATTTCAAAAGCGATCGGTGAAGAAGTATCGGAGATTAGCGGTTTAGAACAAACGAACATTTACCATTTTATTAGTACAGATATTTTTAAAAATGACTTTTTATGTTTTTTTTCCTTCTTCTTTTTGTTAAATTATCTAGGATGATTTAAAATCGCAATTTTCAGTCAAAAATTTTGTATTCAGGTTGCCGATCTTTCATGTACTGAAGGAAGAGAGATAGTGTAAATGGTAAAATAAAAATGATTTTTATTAGATCATACATCACTGTTCAGTTATTGATAGTATGCTAAACAGTAACTTTCTGATGTCCCATAAGCTTGGGTCGAAATGACAGTGTAAAAAATTTTTATTGAAAATTATAATTATACTTCATCCTAAAACAGAATAATTCAGATCTTGATTTTTCAATGATATAAACTGTATATATTTTCAGCAATATGATATGACAGTTCTAAATATTAAAACTAGTCCACTATCTATATATATATATATATATATATATATATATATATATATATATATATATATATATATATATATATATATATATATATATATATATAAATTTAATATAATATTTAAAATAAATTTGAATTCATATAGGTTGGAAGCTTTTGCCTCACTGAACCAACTGCTGGTTCTGATGCCTTTTCTCTTAAGACGGTAGCTAAAAAAGATGGAGATGATTTTCTTTTAAGTGGATCAAAAATGTGGATATCAAATTCCGATATAGCTGGAATTTTTCTAGTCATGGCAAATGCTGATCCATCAAAGGTAAATATATAATTTAGCTAGTGATAAATACAGCTATGTGCATATGTTAACATATTATATATATATATAGTTTTTTTGAGAGAATGCTTTTTAATCTGTTTTATTATAACTTTTTTTTTAGGGGTACAGAGGTATAACTTGTTTCATAGTTGAAAGAGAAATGCCTGGTTTTACAGTGGCTAAACCAGAAAGCAAACTAGGAATAAAGGCCTCAGGTACTTGCATGCTGCACTTCGACAATGTTAGAGTAAGTATCTATTATATAAAAAATAAATTTTACTTTATTTATGAATCATTTTTTCTAATGTCTATCAATTATATGAATAATTGAAGTTTGATTTAGGTACCTAAGGAAAACATTCTTGGAGAGTATGGCCATGGATACAAATACGCAGCTGGTTTCTTAAATGAAGGCCGTATTGGAATCGGAGCTCAAATGCTAGGCTTAGCTGAGGGTGTTTTTGATATAACTATTCCTTACACTCTTGAGCGAAAGCAATTTGGAAACAGTATATTTTCGTTCCAGGTAACCAAAGCAACTAATAGAAAATAAATAAAAACATAAATATAATTTTATTAAATAAATGAATGATTATCAGCTAATCTAACTTTGTACTGGTTGAGTAGTATTCATACATAAGAGAAAAAACTAAGCATGAGTGATACAATCTAAGAAATACTAAACAGATGCGGAAGCTGAGGTAAAATCTCTAATGGAATACTTAAAAAAAAATCAAATTTTACAACTGAGTATAAAAAGACATGAAATGCCAATGACCCTTCCATGTAGAGTATAATAATAAATAAATTCATACTAATGATCTAATGACATTCATAAACAGATTTCAGATAAAATTAATATTCATATATTTTATGTTAGACTAATGTTTTTAAGTCATCAGAAATAACACTAATAGATTGTAACATTAATTTTTCAATGACCTAAAATCTGTGTTATAGACAATATATGACTTATCATTTAAATATATCAAATAAGAATAAAACAAATAATGCTATGATCTGTAGTTTCTGAAGCATTTATAAATTGATAAAAAAATATTATAGAGGAAAAACTAGTAAAATTAATACAGAATTTTTTGACTGGTGATTGAAGTCTTATAAATCTGAAATGATAATTTTTTAGCAATTTAGAATATGAATTATTTCTTTTAATATATATTTTCCATACTTTTATAGGGTTTACAGCATCAAATCAGTGACTGTTCAACAAGGATAGAGGCTGCAAAGCTGTTAGTTTATAATGCAGCTCGATTGGTTGAAGCAAAGAAACCTTTTATGAAAGAAGCAGCCATGGCAAAACTCTATGCTTCAGGTAATCAGGGATAAAACTTAATATACTTAAATTATATAATAAGCAATTAAACACTCAATACACTCTGATATAATGGTTTCAAATGGACTTATGCCTTGCTTCCATGTTAACTTTAGACGCCAACAAAGAAAAAGTCACCATTTAAACTCTCATCACATTATAGGACTTTTGGTATTTTTTCTCCTTGCACCCCAAAGAGAATGCTTTCAATGAACTAAACTATATACTGAATATAATAAGGACATATTGTATACATTACTTACCAAGTCATAGTCCTATAACTCCTTGTATCAAATGTGATAATAGATTAGATTCTTTGTGATGGGCAGTAATAGATGAGATGGGGTTGACCAACTCTGTGATGTGACACACAATATGTGCTATCAAAATAATTTTCCACGAGATCACTATTAAAGGCTGTAATTAATCGCATTGTTACTCAATAAAAATTAATTTAATACCATTTATCATAAATAAACTATTGAAAATAAAATAATGGTCAAATATAAAGTATAATTATCAAATTCATAAGATTATAAGAGTATAATTACCAGTCATTCATTAGTTCCTTAATGAATTTCTTTCAACTCTATTAGTGATAAGCCAGATAATGATTTCATAATTGATTGTTTTTCTCTTGATCAGGTCCATATATCAATCTTCTTAGTTCATATTCTGGAATATTAGTCTTGTAAATCATTTTGATTAAGCATTCCTCTGCAGCTCTATAAGTTCTTGCCTTATTATATGGGCTCTTGCCACAAATACAACCATCAGTAGTTATGATGGCTGCTCAATTATTTATATTCTTATCTTATTTGCCACAATCCAGTAGCACTCTTCATTAATGGGCATTTTCTTCTCTTTTAATCAACCATCTCCCGTTCTCAAACTAAGCGACTATAAGACATTGTGGTGGTCCAGATCCCAAGTCCATTTAAGTCTACATCCCCCTTATATAGTTTCTCTTCAATACAAAGCTCCAAGAACATTAGTGTTAACTTAACTTATGAGCTTAATTACCATTATATCAGTATATCATACATATAATATCATTATATATTCCAGCTTACATCACATCAGATTATTTTAACTTCAGGGTAGAATTAGATTAAATAGTATTACTGAAAAAATATGAAATCAAGAAGTTTATTTATAGGGTACCGAGGCAGTCCTTATAACATCTTTCTTTTTTCAATATAACGAATAGAATTATTTTTCAAATTTATATATAAGCAATCTTATGTACATAATTTATTATAGATTATAATTAGACTTTATTTTATGGATGTTGTAACATTAATTATTTATAAAAGAGATGGTTCAGGTGGTAATCAAGAATAAGCTATTAAAAAGTGAGAACTATTTATTCACCGGGACCATTACTATTGTCATTTACCAAATGCTCAACCATTAGTATAAATAAATGATTTATTGCTTCCAGAAATGGCGCAATACGTTTCTTCAAAGTGCATTGATTGGATGGGTGGAGTTGGCTTTACAACTGATTTCATGCATGAAAAGTTTTACAGAGACAGCAAAATCGGCACTATTTATGAGGGAACATCAAACATTCAACTAAACACTATTGCTAAGGCTATCAAGAAAGAATTTTCTTAAGTGATCAAGGGAAAATCTAAGGAAATTTAAATTAAACTGTTTAAAATATGCAAAACTACAATTTTTACTGATTGAAGTACTTTAGAAGCAACCTTCCATTTTTTCTTACAACAAAAACATTATGAAGAAATATGTACCTATTTCTATTAAAATAAGTTTGATAATGAATAATGATTAACTTTAAAAATGTATAATTTTAATTGAAAAAGTATTTATAAAATAGTTATTTCTATAGATTAAGTGCAATTTGTAAATTTTGTTCTAAACCTTTTTATAATTAAAAATGTAAAATATATATATTTTTGTAATAATTCTTTTTTTTTTATAAAATCTATAAGGCCCTCATAACCCTCATCAAAACACTAAATAATAAAATAAAAAAGTAAAAAGATAAATATGTTTATTTTTTATAATGTAAAATAATGAGGATTTGGAAAAAAGTACTACTTTAAAAATGTCCCTCCAGGTGGCTATGGCCTAGATTAGCGGTGAATATTTCTGCTAAAAAAAATATGTAAATGAGCTGTTTCTTTATACGAAACAATAGTTCTTAAGAATTGTTGAAGTAAAATGTAAATAATTCATGGAGTAAGAATCTATTAGTTTCTTATACCGTTATTATTTAATAGTAAGTAAAAATAACAATTCTGTCCCCGATCAATCACACTCACTTGAGTTTCATTCTCTATTAATCTTTCAATATCTGTATAATTAAAAAAAATTCACTTAATATTTTTAAAAAATCATTGTTTAAATCTACTCAAGTAAAAACAATTGTTTTTAATATGATACTGACGTCATATAAAAATACCAGGCAGTGATCATTAACTGGAAAATATAATAACTTAGTTGACAGTCTACTACCGATTGAACTTTAAGTCCAGGTGAAAGAGAAAGGTCATACAACTTTATAAGTACATTTTGTAGTAAACTTCGAACTCTTTATAAAAACTACAAGTTTCTGACACCATGTTGTGTGCATCTCGCAGCAGTGCAGAATGAATACAACCCACCCACATCCTTTTCTTTTCCATTTTATCCTAATTTTCATAATATAATTAGTTTTAGAAAAAAAATCAGCAGATGAAATAATCATAATCCTGTAATTTTCAAATGGTCCTAAAAAAAAATCATAAAAAATAGCAACCTCTACAACTTACATCTAAGAAAACCTTCACTAAAAAATTGTTTGTACCCTTCAGTGAATACTAAGTTGGAAATGACCTTAATTTATTGCCGGGGTCCCAACAAGAAATGTGAAAAGAACTGATGGTTAACAAAAGTTTTTGAGGTAAACCTCTTTCATCCTGTTACTTGGTGTGATAAACAACACATCCATTATTCACTTCAAAATTAATTTATATACATTATAAAAATAGCAGGTATTTAAACTTGAATCATAATTTTTTTGAAACATGTCAAAAGTAGAAATAATGAAAGAATCCTCTTTATTTATGCAAACTACAAGAACTTTTAATATCTTAACTTATAAAATACAGTCTAATATTCAATTCAGAAATATGTTTTTGAAACAAAGTAAAAATATATCTTCAACACTACCAAAAGACTAGAAAGAATGGCTTCTCATAAAAATAAATCACTTTTAATATTTTTGTATAAATTTACTAACTGCTTTGCAGATGGTCTATTATTAGGTTTGGAATCCTTGCACATAAGATGAATAGTAAATAATCTATATTGAAGTAGTTCGAAGTCTGGTCCATCAAGAAAGTAATTGCAAACATCTGGTATTTTCCAAACATCAACTTTTTCATTATATCCATCCATTTGTTTTATTTGGTAAGCCTCTGATTTCTTCCATAGTTGCTCAGGAGCTACAAAAGAAGATTTGATTTCTCGCCTGCCACATCTAATAGTTGTATTTGGACTCACTTCCGGAAGAGCATCAACATCTCCTAGGATAATATTTAAATCTCTTGTAATGAGCAACTGGCTTAACAGTTTATTTAAGTCATTCGAGTCGCAATTGACTAGTGTACCAATTGGGCTATTGTGAAGATAATTTATTATTTCAACATAATTAATACAAAGATCAATTTTTTGTTTTAAATTTAACACTTTCTTTATAAAATAGTAATTTATAGCGTTATTATATTCATGGTATTCAGTGACTATAATATTCTTTAGTTCACAAAATCCAACTAACTGTATTGTGAACCTATTTGGTACCAGAGTTTTCAAAATGTGTAGACCATGATAAAAATCATGCCGTAAATGTAAATCCTTTAGTGTACTGAAACTGACATTGTGGTTTCTCCATTCAGCGAGATACACATTTTTAGTGGAACCATATCCAATTAATCTCTTAACTTTAACATCTTTTAAATCTTTACACGTCAACCATGGACGGCAATATTTCATTGGAGGAATTTTGAAATAGCCTCTGGGACATAATCCTACAACAGTATTGAATAAAATCAGAAAATAAACTACAAAAACAACTCTAGTTTTATTTTGGATCATGGGGTAATTTGAATCCGACTATATTAGCAGTATCTTCAACAGAACGTTCTCCAGCAGAATGATAGGTCCTAACTAGTTCCTTAAATCTTCTGAGGCTCTGCAAGTATGTAACATAAGTGTTGGTAACACATTTCATTTCATCTTGGGCTCTGCAATAAATTTGGTCAGTAACTCCAAATCTTCGATACTGATGAAAAATATAATTTACAATATTTGTATCTTTCAACTTCCCAGACGAATTAACTTTTCTTAATTCAGATAACAAATGTCTTAACAAACGAATGTTCGGTGACATTTTATAGATGTTTTGTACTTATTTCCACTGCTGTTTATTAAAAGGGTGGATTCAGCAAACGAACATCAGAAACTGAAACATTTTAAGATATCAGTTGATAAATAAGTTTTTACGTTAACAATAACCAACTATTCACAATAAATACTCAACAGTAGCCTTCGTAACTGTAGGTTTCATATGTTTACATCACCTGAAAGGTTAGGCATTCAGACAGATTTAATTAGTAAAGCTCAGCAAATATAGCTGAGAGAGGATAATATGTAAAATATAAATAAAACAATTATTTATTTTCCTGAAAATTACTAATAGTTAGTTTTCAAAAGCACATTAAATTGTGTTGAATTTTATGCAACGAATGGTTTAATAATAAATTTATGATATTTAGTTTTGATAAAAGTCATAAAAATGTAAAAGTCATATATTATTAATCATTTCAAGATTTTTTAAACTGTTCTTTATCATTTTTACATATATTTTAAATATTATTTAAACTGGTAGGTAAGCCTTGAAAAGGAAGTAGGCGCCATTTACTTGAGTTTGACTTTGCTCGGTTTGGTACAAGATTAAATTTATCTTCTCTGATTCAATAATTTCCAGTTTAATATTTATAAAAAATTGATCTAGTGAAAAAAGAATGTTTTCTATTACTAGTGTTTGTAGTGAAATTTCATGTTCTGAATTGATAAATGCTCTTCAATTTGAAGTTTCATACATTTTTTTGCCAAGGTTTTTAGCTATCATTATTTTGAGTTTCATATTCAGTTAGTTTCATACTTAGTGTCATATTAATAAAATCCTGCTTCTTTCTTCTTGTTTTTAAAGAAAAAATAATTGTGAACTTTTATTTAATTTTTTATTTTCTTTAGTAAATTCACGTCCGTTAATTCTATTTGTAATAGATTAAAGCAGCCATGAACTGTACTGGATACCAGCTTTACTCAGGTAAATTAAATTAACTTTATTCATTTCTGTCTATTAAATGTATCTCTTAAAACTTATCTCATTATTTTTTTTTTTTGTTTTCAGCTTAAAATTTTGATAGAAGCTAAGTTCAAGGTGAGAAAATACAAAAGTAAAGTACAGAATGATTTATTCATTACACCAATAGGATTTTAAGTATTTATTTATTATTATTATTCTTTATCACTATTTCCTAATAAATATTAACAATTATGTAGCAGTATGTGTTGCTTACCTGTTTAAATGTTTCATTACAACAAATAAAATTAGAAAATTTTAGAGACAGTTCGATCATAAAATAATAAAATTCATAACAAAAATTTTATTGCAGTAGGTACATAGGTTATTGAAGTTTAAGAATGATATGAATAAAATTAAATATTTAGTTTATAATTAAATCTTGAACATAATACTGTAATACATTATATGATGCTTAAATAGATTTGAGCTGTCTTCTACAGAGAGCAAAATGAACACAATCGTTCATTTTGCTATCTGTAGAAGACTCAACAATTCATATATTTTAATATGTAAGAACTTTGTAGGATTTTCCCTCTGTAATAAGAACATTCAACATATAGTTTAGCCAATCTAATGCATTTACTATGTTTTTCATTAAGTAAGGTCATAACTCACAAGTAACGTGTTTAAAAATTTGTTCCATCAAACATGTACATAGTAACATTATATGGTTCAAAGATTAAAGATTTTCAAAAATGTTTTAATGTATAATTATTTACATTTCAAACACTGATTATTCTAATTTTAATATTTTAAAGGAGCAAAGTTAAAACAAGCCTAATTATTACTAGTATCAGTGATTATTATTTGTATAAATCTAAATAAATAATCATGGCTGTTTTTATTATACATAAAACTTTGTTATTAACAAATTAAGGAATTGACAAATGATTTTTTCAACCTTTTTATTAGATAAATAACTTGTTTTTTGTGACAGAAAAATTTTGAATGCCATTATTAATTGTTGTAGATCATAGTCAAAATTATTTCTATGTAGGTTAAAATATGAATATAAAAGATTACTTTTTGGATATTTTACTGATTACATGTTTTTTGTCATGCTCATTTCAATTATTTAAATGTAATGATCCAAGAAATACTTTTAATACAGTTTTAAAGAAAAGAGTAATTAAATAAAATAAGTTTGCAACATTAATACAGTTTTGTAACACACACACACACACACACACACACACACACACACACACATATATATTTATAAATAATTTTATTAAATATGTAACAAATACCAAACCCGTCAAAGAAATAACATATTTTAAGCTGCAATTTTCTGATTGTATTGGCTCATCTTTGGTTCTTTTCATAAGTTTTAACTGATAAAATTTATGTATGCTATGGTATTGTTTCGAAATACCTTACAACTTTCAGTATCTGAAGGGTTTTTGTGTTTATATTTAATGCTTTATATTTTAATATTATAAAATTTTAAAATTATGCATTAGATTTTGCTACCTATCTTAAACTAATTCAATCAAAATTTAATTAAATCATATAACTTATGAAATATAAATAAATAAAAATGATAAGAATAGCTCTTTTCTTAAATTACATAAAAATTCGTTAAATAAATGAATTGAAATTGTAAAAAAAAACTCTGAACAGTGATATAGTTGACTTTTAAACACAAATCAATGATACCAACATTGAACAACCTATTTATATTCATAAAACATTTATTGTACTATTATGAATATAAATAGGTTGTTCAATTTTGGTATCATTTTACAAACTATGGGAAACACAATTACCTTACTTAATTAACAGTGAGATTTTTCTAAACCTAACTATTTATTTTATTTATTTTTTGATACTGAGAGCAGAAGTAAAAGATCAAAAACAAGAAACACAAATACTAGCAATAATTATTTATATATTTGTTTGTCCCATAGTTTATGGAATGTCTAAATGCACCTTTACACTTACAAACCAAATGCTTGCTTCTGTATATATGAAAAGCATATTAATAGCTAATAATTTATTACAAATTACCTTAATTTATCCGTTGTTGAATAAATCATTTCTTTATCCAGTACAAAATAAATTAAATAGTTGATTAATCTTTCTGAACTTATTATGTTATCCTTTAAAGGAAATTATGGATAATACAGTTCCATCTAATTCAGATTCGTTTTAGCTACTGTTTTGATGTTATTTTAAAAATTTTAATTTTTCAAATAGCGAGATCAGCTCTTCATCATTCAAGTTGCTCTCAAGATGATTTTCACAAGACTTTACATCCTCCAGTTCTGTGAGACGATTAAAAAGGTCTACTTCAGGTGGATCTTCTACTCGATATATCACTTCGCTTAAAGGGTATTTGGACTTTAAGCGATCTAGACTTTCTTGTGCAAATCTTTCCTTAGTTCTCAGAGCATAGTACGGAAAGTAGTCCATGTCATTTTCTATCTTTTCCAAATTCTTTTTAATCAGAAAGAACAGATAACAATTTTCCTTTTTAGGAATGTGTGTCTCTGAGGACTTGGGTTCAATTTGAAACAATTGCATTTGGAGCAAGGACAGACTTCGTTGCAATTTAGATATTTTCTTGTGATTTAGCATTATTTCTTCGTTTTTCTTTTCAACTTCTTCCTTGAGTTTCAAAACCAGATCGGATGTGTACAGTGATGAATCATTGGACTTCTCTGTATAAGGTAATACATGATCTGATATCCACTCATGTAATTCTTCACTGTCGCGTTTTGTGGATTTTAATATCTCTACAACATCTGCTCCTCTTAACCATACTTCCCCACCCGCATCGTAGGCAGCCATTAGTTTCTTATCGTCTATTGTAAATTCGGACATTGTTCGCACAATTGGAAGGATCACACAGTCAGAAGGCACTTGTACAACTGAATAGGTTTTGATAAAACTATATAAACCCCTTTAAATATAGTTTCTTATCATCTTTAAAAACCACAGGACCGGACGTCAGGTTTCCGACTTTTATTTATCACATACCATTATATTTATTCTTATAAGTATTTTTATTATCGATATTGTTAACAATTATGGATATTTGTTGGTTTTCTTTAAATCACGAGCTGATAATTGTGGCAATGAGGACATAATTTGTTCAGGCGTTCTGCTCTGACGAAAGGGGAGGGGGGAGAGGGGATACAGTAGCGTTCAGGAGGTAGCTTATACTAGGGATGGGATATCGAAAGCCCAAAATTGATATTGTCATCGATAGAAATATGTGCTTATATCGATCGATACCATAAAAATATCAGACGTGAAATATCTATCGATAGTCGATATTGTAAAAGTTTTTGAAAAATCAGTAATTTTGAAACATAAGTATCAATAAAAATATTGCTTCTCTAGCACATATGCAGATAAAAAAATATGTTATTTTTTCTCTTTAGATTAATCAATAGAGATATCATTCTTCTATTCTCCTTAGTAAACTTAATTTTGTGATTCCTGTCCATCTTCTTCATCCTCAGCTTTTTCCCATAAAGTTCTATTTAATCAATTATATCTCCCATTCACCTATAGATCAGATTCAGCAAAATGCTAATGTATTTGTATTCCCTATAGATTTCTTTTACAGTTCCTGATATTGGTTTGAAAAAGGTTCTAATTAACAAATTTTAGCAAATTGAGTTTACACTCAGAAATCATTCACAACAATGTTATCTTTATTCCAAATGAATGAATTTTATTGCAGGACATGTGGTTATAAATTTATAACTTAGGCGCGATATACGACTCTACTTAGCACTATACATGAGAACACGCAAGATGAGTAAATATTTTTTTAACGATCAGATTCACCTACAATCTATAGAAATTTCCGAAAAGGATTACTTTAATTTTAATTTTAAATTAAATTATTAAAATATCGTATGATACAATTTATACTAAAAACAGATTAAATTTTTGGTTTTCTTTTTTCTTTTCTTTCTCCACATTCCTTTATGTCTATTATTTCATATTATATCCTTTTTCCTTTTCTTTCAAACTATCCTGTAGTTCTGTAGAAGTATATTCACATTTCCATATATTATATTTTACACCACAACAATTGTTAGCATCTATTTACTCCAGTATAGGATCTTGTTACTTAGCTTACTCTGTTCATATTTTAATGTACTTACTGTTTATAATTTCAGTAAGCTTATTCACATTGTTTATAAATTTTGTCTAAATATTATGTAACTGCCACAATTCTCTATCTTTTTGTATTTTGTCCGTTCTAGCCCAAAGTCGGGTCGAAACATTGGCTTTTAATAAAATAGTTTTATCACTATTTAGCCTAACTAAATGTTATAATCAGGTACAATTAAGGACATTTGTAATAGTGTTTAGTGAGCACATTCACACTAAAACAAATAAACAATTACCTAATTACCAGAAAAAATCTTATCATTTTATACAAAATGAAATAGTATACAATCATTGAATAGAATGATTTTCTTAAAAAAAAGTATTCTGTGAATGCTATATGCTATATCAGAGATATCCAAACTACAGCCCGCTATGACCTGCAAGAAAATTTCTTTTATTGCATGATAAAATTTAAAAAAATATTTTCAAAATATGAAATTTAGTAAATCACTCAAACACGAGGTTACTAAAACATTTATTTCATGAGTTGTTTCTCTTAGAAAGCTTATTTCACGACTCAAATGTCATTTATAGAACAAGCATTTTTTGTTTCATTATAAACGAAGCCTCGCGGGACTTAGTAGAAGTATCAATCTGGTCCGTGAGTCAAAAAGTTTGTATGATAAAATTAATATAATAAAATGTAGAGTAGGTGTTTATATATTTTTTAAAGTGAAAACTTCTTTAAACGCGTTTTGCGCTTTTTTTGTGGAGATTGAATTAGATTGAGCCATCAGATTTCCGATGTATAACGCTCGGGCAAAGTCGGCTGGATTCGACCAATTGAATTGTTTTTGCATATGGATTAAAATATCTCAAAAATTATAAATCGGACCTGTATACTATAAGCGGAAGAATCGTTCAACATAAGCAGCATTGTAATGAGCTATTATTTAAAATTGTATGTTAACGCAACGCCGTGTTAGAGAGGAAAAATAGTGTCGAAAACCAACTGATAACGAGTTTTATATGATCTGAACTAAAAGATAAATTCGGCCTGTGTATCGTAAGCAAGGGAATTGTTCAGCATTTAATCCTCTCTGAATTGGTCTGTTTATAATTTATATTTCGTAATATTAATCTCGCCTTGTGGATGTTTTCACTTCAATTGTGTGGTCTAAAGCAGACACCTTAGTTTTTTGATTCAGTGCAGTTTTCTAAATTCTGACTGTGCCATTAGGTAAGTCTGACATAGATATAATTTTTATAATGCATTTATTGCCTAATAAAGTATATTTTATTATTACTTATAACATTTCTAAAAGTCATATCAGCAAACCAGTTAGCAATTACCAAACACTCTTTTAGTATTTAAATATTTAATTAATATTTAAGACGTTCCTTGGATCTTTGAAACCGAACTAAAAAATAAATAGCGCGCTGTTAATTTCTCCTGGATCGTGGAAGGTAAATCAAGAGAACAGGTTGATGCTATTTTTCCCGAACGGGATTTATAATCAGTTTCCGGGTGGTAGGAAACCTCCGACCGAAAAAGCCCCCCTTGGGCCAAAGTAATGACGTACATGACAAAGCTCTTATCACGATATATCGGCTGACCTACTGGCTGCCTCCATCCAAGAATTTAGCTTTCAAGCTAATCCTATTTTCTCAAGCCCCATACTTCATTTTATCATCGACAGGCCCAGTTTAGCGGTCGGTTCGTCGCGTTTTAGTTTTGTTTCGATTACTGAATTCGTTTTGTGAACGTAATTTGATTGTGGTAGGCTTGATCGAAAATCCCAAAGCAAAGCCATACGATGATATCTCCTTTATTTTATTTGCTCTTAATTTTCAAAAATAATGTAAATTTTTGTTTGGTCATTTGCACGTCTGAATAATAATTTTTTTCAGCAATTTAATTTGACATTCTATACTTCACAATTTATTTTTGTTGTCTATATTTTATTTTACATTTATTTCAGAATATATCATGTATTTGATCGTTATTTTACTGAAAAACAAAGTTCTGCCCAGTCAGTTAAAGCACAGATAGTATTGCACGCTATAATAGAATATTGCGGTACCTTTTTGCATCCATTTTTCCATCTATTCACCAGAGATCTCCAACTCCAGATCAAGAAACTCACCTCTAAACTAGTAAACCAGAAACCATCTCCCTGTTTTAATGTTGGTTGTAAACATTCATCCTAAAATTTCAAACGAGATCATCTCTAACACACTACCTCCTTCTAGACCAAAAGGTGTTGTCTCATAGTATAAGTAGCTAATTGATCTGAAGATAAAGAGCTAGTTACTAAACAGCACCGAGTTCATCGTAAATCTATTGAACCGTTCCTAGACACATCGAGAACGTGGATGAAATTCAGCGATTGAACCACCGGAGAAGTCAAAAAAGCTATTTACAGAAAAATACAAATTATTTCAAATTTTGACTTATCTCCCCTTTTTGGATTTGTTCTATTCTTCTTCTGTCCAATTCTTCTTCGTGGTCAAGTCATCGTTTAAGTCGTTTGGATAAAGGTCGGAAAAATGATTTTTTTTCTGGCAACACCAAATGATAAAAGTTTCCTTATGATCATGGAGGACGAAACTTGGGTGCTTGTTTCGGATATGTAGTTCTCTGCTAGATTTTTATGCAACGCAATAATTTTAAATATTGTTCAACAGCAGGATTGCTATTAAATGTTTTTCGACCTGTCTGAAAGTTTCAATTATACAAATTGCTTGTTTTTTAAAAAGTTGATATAACGCCTCTTTGTAAGAATAAAGGATGAAGTGTACAACAAAGCAGTAAAATTTAAACAATAAGATAGCATTATTCAGAGGATGAAAAATTCTCAAAACCATATTCGTTTTTAACGACCTGAAAACTGGGGCATGTCAAAATTCACGTCTTGCAAAATAAAAATTTCACTTATTTGCTCTTATCTACGATTTTGACTTCGCTAAAAGCTAAATATTTAATCTTAATCTTCAGTTTAATTTTTAAAAAGCACAAACAATTTCTTGAACGTTTTCAATTTTTAAAATTTTAGCCAACGATTCTCTGAACTTCTATGTATCTTTTAATTTACTTCATGTTAAGTCGATTGACATCGATTTATTAACATTGCTTTTATTACATATATGAAAAAAAAATATGTTTTTAATCTTAAGGAAATATTCTTATTTCATTACCGAAACTTTGTTTTATTTTGTTTTTTAAAATCTGGTTGAGTCTACTACAAATAATGTAAATATAAGGGGTACATTATTTTAACTTAAAAAAAACAAAAAAACAACTGTAGAACAGAGATGCATAAATGAATATATGTTTTACGAAAAGAGAGTCGTGAGGGCGGAGAGAGAATATTAAATTATTTATACTATCAGTCCCATATTTTTATATCTCGTTCTTCCATTTAGATCACGATTCATATATATTCAGGATACTGTATTAGAAATGTTCTTTAGAGGAGTGAATTGAATGAAAAAAAAATTTTTTTTAGTCACTTCCAACATCAGAATAAAGAAAAAAATTACAAATCTGATATATATTATTCACTGAAGTCGTTCCCTTTTCTCCAATTGTATGTAAGATTTATCAGGAGCTTGTTATATCAATTGTGGTGGAGCGTCCTTTTAGTTATATCACAATTCATAATCGTTTCCTCTGACTTTAAGGAAATGGTCTAACCGTGTCGACCGAACTTCCTTCCCTTCGCCATTGATATTTATTTCAGCATTTTATA